ATAATAATAATAATAATAATAATAAAAGGGGTATATAGGCATTGATTATAGAATATTCTAACCCAACCTTCGATAGTCCGCAAAGTTTGATTAAACTTATAATTTAATGCACGCGTACCATATATAATATACAGACATCATTATAAACGGCAAATCGAGAYGACTTGCGCTGCGCCTAAGTTGAAAAATATAACTGCGATTACGCCGGGAATTAAAATATACGGAAAAAAATTGTTTGTGCCGAGTGTATATTGTCTACCTGTTGAATCAAGCAGTGGCTACCTGTTGCATTATAGTTTAATTATTAAGCGTTTTAGCTCGATTAATAATTGTAGTCACACGTACGACGTAGCGGCGAGAGGGGTTGTTGATGTAATTTCAGAATCCGCGTGTGGCATCAGCCGCGGGGACGACGGAAAACGCGTGTACAGTTATTAAAACAAAAATCGAGCAAGGCACGCGCCGGACGCGCGCATCATTTAAGCTTGTGTGTGTGTGTGTGTGTGTGTATATATATTATGTACTTCATATATATATATGATATCTATATACACATACACACACACACACACACATATATATATATATGTATATATGTACACGTTAATACGGACGTCGTAAAGTAGGTGCGATCGCCAATAATAATTGACTGGTGTCGGCGGTCCAGAAGCACCTGTTGCTTTGTGTTTTTTTTTATCTGATTCTTTCATTGGTGGCACACGACTAGTAAGTGTAAAAAAAAAAAAACCAGTTTGCCGAAAAATAAAACAACGGCGCCGGCGAAGGGGCGGCACGGAGGGAGAGTGAAAAGCTGGTCAAAATATTATAATAGTATGTACATTTGCCGCCGCGGTGTACCGGTTCCACCCGAAATGTTTTTTAATCTCTTCCTCTTGGCCGGCGCACACGTCTCGTGTAGGTATATAATAAAATATTGATGAGACGTGTGTGTGTGTGTGTGTGTGTGTGCAGCGTAATATTATTATTAATAATGAGCGGAGGAGTAGACGATTCGGTCGTCGGTCATAATATATACATATTATTATCTATATAGAGGTGTATAATGTACGCGCGCGTATATAATATAATATTATACATAGGAGGAGGACTAGGACAAGGAAGAAGGAACGAGTCGAACTGCTACCGACGACGAAGGCGAAGACGACCGCGTCTCGATGCAGGTGCTTTTTTGGTTTTTTTTTTTTTGGTTTTTGGGCGGCTCGTGCCACGGGACACGCCACCGCATCACCTGTCCTGTCGCCGTCGTCGTACATAGTTTGACCTCAAGTGCCGCCCGAGAAGACGTTATTACTTATATTTGTATAAAATTGCCGCCGCACGCTAACACTAATTATTACGACCAGTTTTTATGATTATTATTTTTTTTTAATGTTTTATTATTGGCGGCGGTCCGGTGGTTCCTCGTTTTATATTATATTATATTATTATGCGCATAACGCGTATAATATATATTATAATTTTATACATCTCGTCCGTTTTTACATAATATACCGTTGACAGCGGGCGAGAGACGGGGAGAGAACTTTTCAGCAGCTCGATCGAACGCCTTCGCCGGGTGCAACAGAATCGTTAAATTTGTTTCCGATAAATCAAAGATGGCCAATATATAATTAGTGMCGTTGGTTACGTGGAATTTTTCGTTACTCTCAAGAGTATTGTCAAGCTATCATATTTTATCAAGGTATGCGCAGGTCTATGTTTAAATCTCAACTCTCAAGTATAATATATATTTAAACGACTCGGTGTAGAACCTATGTGGATGTTAGATGAAGTTAATATATATATATATATATTATTTAGTTTTTCGGTCGTTAAACATTACACTAATACTCCGGATATCCACCATTCCACATGTACCCGCCGTGTGTGATGATAACCGCGTATACCGAAAGAAAATCGTTTGTCTACCCAAACTACGGACTTCCGAGAGTTTCCGAGATAATGCGCAGCCGGGGACGTGTTGCAGGATTTGTTTTTTGGAAACACTATACCGTGAAAGGATTTTACAGCCCCGATGCAGAGCATACAATAGTATAATGTAGATTATATAATCTAAAAATAGTCTAAACGTTGCGTGAACGGTCGGAAGGGAAGGTTTAATTTTTTTAAACAAACATTTCGGTTCATGAACAGTGCCCGGACGGGGGTTAACGACGCGGCGATTAGGAGGACCTTGAGAACAAAAATGAGGTATTGTAATATGTTATAACTACTATAAGTATGAAGACATATTATAGCATATTCTGTTATGGTTTAGATACACGAGAGGATGCATGTGACTATATTATTATAACATGTTTAGGTATACCAGCCGGCCGTTGAATGMCTTCCAAGCACTTGAGACAACTACTACAGTAGTATAATGTATAAATAGTGATATTATCATATTGACAGTATCTGTCACTGAAACAAAATTCATCGTTGTGCCACACGCAACCGAAAAGAGTAATTTGGTCTCGTATTTAAATGTCTCGTTGTTATTGCTTTCATATTATTGAACACGGCGGGAGTTAAAAAAAAATCTTCAATTAATTTTTCCACAATTCAAGATTTAATTTTGTGATTTAAAATCGATTCAACTAAACTATACATCAATATATACGTTTAACAATATATCTTTGGTTTTGTTTGTGAAACTCATAAATTGTTAATTTCATAACCTTCCCATTATAATGCAATCAATATCGAATTATTGCTTATATAAGTTATATTATCATATTWTATTATACTTGGCGTGTTCTTCTAAGACGATGTAAAAATTTGTATTTTTTTTTACAAGAAAAGGGTATAATATTATGAATTATGATGTATGAGCAGTTGGCACAAAACGTCAATTCACCTATATATATATATTTTATTTTTTTGATCGATCGTTTAATATATGAGTATCACAGAGCATGCCGGAGGGCTCATATTTGAGTTGTGTGTTCGGTATACAACGCGAAACCAGTATATCACAGTCCACAGAGTTTGGAATTATATTAATAATATTTCTTAAATAAAATTTAATACATTATTATTATGTATAATGTCGATATTTTGCTCGAATTATTTAGTCTCTATGGTTGTGATAAATTACGTATCTACGTTTAATAGTTGCAAAATATCAGTGAAATAATTCTGTTTACGGAGAGTGAAAGTATTATTTTTATTATGTGGTAAAACTTTTCACGAGGACATTGCGTTTTGCAGTGAAAATATTGAGAGAAAAAAATCACCGTCAATCGAAAAATCAAAAAACAATCGATTAATATTCCAGATCTCCCAGTTTGTACGCGATATGTATATAGGTAATAATTAATAATATTGCAATAATTGTGTTTTTCACAATAGTATATAGGTATATAACGGTATTGCACTCACTTGTTTTCTTCGAGAGGAACGACCTTTCGGAGTCTAGCGAACGCCCAGTTGACCGCCTGCACTCGGCGTCTCTCGCGGGCGTTCCGCCTGGCCACCACCTGAGCGGGTTTCTGTCCGGCTGGCGTGTCTTTGGACCGACTGCCCTGCTTGGCCTTGGACGAACCGGCCTTCTGGCCACCCCCGGTGGACGTAGATGCCAACGAGGGACCGGGTGACGAGCTGGTCGTGCTGCAAATAATCGTGTTTTGACTGTCAGAGTCCGATAGCCATTCTTCCTTGTTATTGTGGGCGAACGCTTCTGAAAGTAAAAAAAAATGCACATTATTTTCAGAGGTAAGGACAACGGCGTCGATATTTGCCAGATATTACAATACGTATAATGTACCTATATATATCATACATTATAACATGGGTGTGTGTGAGTGATTATGCTTGAAATGTTTTTTTATAATTTGTAGTAAGACGCAGATAATGTACACAATATACATATATGATATATTATATATTTATGTATAATTCAGTTATAATAAATAAAAAAAAAACAGGATTAAAAACCAAATTTGAAGAGCTCACGCGCAAACGATAAGAACTGCCATTGTCGTTATAATATTATAATGTAAGTATAGCATATATACCTACACGCATTATCTCTCTCGTTTTGTGTGCGCGCGGCTTATAATAGAGCGGTGTGTATTTGCATACAAACCGACCGATTAAGTATATATATCATCATTATTATTATTATTATTATGGCTGTTGTTGTTGTTGTTGATGTGTACTTATTTTATAATATATAATATAATATAGTCATCGTTCCATTAGGCAACCGCTTTCCTCGCTATCAACCCCCCTCCCCCCCATCGCACAAGAATACGCACCGAGTACTGTGTACCTACATATTTTAGTTTTGAAGTTTAGTTTTCACAACGGGGCGAGTCGTCATCGGTGGTTATTTAGTCCGCTCGTGAAAATAAAACCGGAAACGCTAACACGGCCCTTCTTCTATATTGCCATCAAACAATAGGCACACTCGACATCGAATTCTCGTTTCATTATTATTAAAACTATTTCATTCCATTGAAACGATGCTCGGGCTCGGAGTGAAATAAGAACTTAACATCCGTTAAACAATTTTGAATAAAAAAATTTCGGGATGATAAACAATACATGTTATAACGATATAGACATAATATTATTATACAGTAATAATATAAGTACGCGACGGTGAGGCGGCAACGACGACGGGCGTTATGTATACACGAAGACGACGTCTCCAACGCGCGACTGTTCGCGCCAGCGAACAGTTTAATTTCGGACGAAAACTGGTTTTGATTATAATCGTAGTCAGATATTATCGTCCAGTTATATTACTATACTCATTAATATTGATGGCCCCAATAGGTATGGACTATATTATTATTATCTTATTAATATATGTACTTATAGTGGTGGAATAAATACCTATATAATGGTAATAATAACAACAACAACAAATTTTGTAATTTATCGATATCGCCGTCGGTGGAAATCGCCGTGCGATAAGATGAATACGGACCATAGACAATATATTATTATAATATCATGATGATATTGTGCAGGGGCGATTTACATATTATCGTTACAATACATACACACGAGCACGGGCAGAAGCGCGTTTCGAAACACTCACCCCGTTGTTGACAAGTAGAATCAGTCGGTGACGGCGGCGGACTACTTGAAGTCTCCATAATTGCCAAATGTTATGTTACTATTATTATAAATATTATAGGAAGTATACCTATACGAACACGCCGAGCAGAGCKTTGTTCGGCGTTTCTCTCCGGTTTTGTTACACGACCGCGCGCTCGAAAACGAACTAGGCAAACGTACCGGCGGACAATATGATGGCCGGTACGAAACTGGATCGGGTACGAACGGCGAATAGGTATTTGGGCACCGAAGAATTTCGAGATCGCATTTATYGTACGAACATCGCTCGCCAGGTATACGAGGCATTATATAGGTATAACCTTTTGTGTCTTAAACCAGTTTTTTTTTTCTGTACGTTCCACCACCGTCGTTGTACACACACACACACGGGGAATGGGGATGTTGAAGGTACATGCGTACACACGCAAAGCCGCCTAAAGGTCTGGGCGGCGCACAATGGATATAGGGCTATAGGGTTGTGCGTGTGTGTGTGAGCGATTGCGAGTGCGTGTGTATTTGCCAGTGTGTGTGCGTCGTGCGAGTTTGCCACAGGGATTCCGACCACGTATGCACAAAGAACGTCGGTTAAGTACGGTATTTCGTCGTATAATAATATAATGTATAGGCAGGTATTATATAATAAAATATATTACCTATACACATCGGAGGGGCAAATGTAACAAATTTTATTTTATTTTTTCAAATCGCGTCGGGATACCCTTCGCCCAAGGGAATTCGTGATGTTCAGCACKCCGGGAGGGGCGCAAAGAAGAGACRGGCGGACAATAGACACACAAACGACCGAGCACCCCGATTACGTAAGGCCGCGTTGTATCATTGTTATATACCTGTGCACTACCGGAGTTACACGTTCGCGTCCGCTATTATATTTCGTAGACAATATGTTTTCTTGGCGGACCTCACGTGGTTCCAACGTGATGGTACATTTACGAGTGTCCAGAGTAAAATAATTTATTATATCGAAAAAAAAAAACAATCCGGTCAAACCGTCGGGTATCGAATTTGTGTGAGTATATATACGTTGTAGAAGTACATTGTGCACTATAATACACCAATACATATTATATGTATATAATAAATAATAATAATAATATATTGTACGTATATTAATGGATTATATACATTATTGTCAAAATTATATAATACTGCATTCGCTGAGATTTTTGCCCACTTTATTATTCCTTGTTGTGCGTAAATTAAGGTACCTTTATAATATATAATGATTCTTTTAACAATCGTTATATAAACAAGTATTATCATTACAGAAAACATTTTTTTTTTGTTTTTACATAATTCAAAGTCCATACAATACAATATTTTCAAAAAATTAATATTTTTCGTATTTYTTATTATTGTTATTAATAAGTTTTTATATATTTTTGAATGACTGCATACATAATTAGTTTCATGTTCTGAACTAGAATATATATACGTTCACTAGAATATATATTCTTGAGAATATTATAAACGCACAAAATCAAATTTCAAACGAGTATTAAATTTGTTTACATATATATAAAGTTTAAACGAGTAAAACTTGGTAGACCTGCAATATTTTGTTAGGTACTAATACGTTTCACTACACACCACTAATCTGTTTAAAATTTWAAATTATAAAGTATGTATATTCGTACATGCTGCGACTCAAAATGAAGTAAACGCTTATAAAGTTATAAAATGATAACGATGAAAAACTCATAGCTAACTTTATTCATGAATGATGTTAAATGGTACGAAAAACATTTTCAAAAACTTTAATACTTTTCCATCAGGCAATGCGTGTTTAGTGTTATAGTAATAATTACTCTGCATTATATATGTATATAGGCACCTATACATAAGTTTCGGACATAGGCCGCCTGCCGTAGTATAATAATACACGTGAGATCAATAGAAACATGGAAAACAATATAACGTCTAGCGGGTAGACGATTTTTTTTCTGAAGGTATATAAAGTAGATATTACTATATATGTTACTCGCAAGCATTCATACACCTTATGTCATGGACCATATGACGTACATATATTTCAATTCCTTGGGAACAGACCGTGCATATATATAGCCCATATGGTCTCCCTAGACTAGACGAGAACGGTAACGCGACGCAAACACGCAACATATGGTGCCCAAAGACGWTAATGAAAGGCGTTCACCTTTTTCCACCCTCTCGATCTGTCTGGTAACGGTATGGTCCGGACATTTCGCGGACTTGACGTGCACATTTGGTCATAACATCGTAATAATATATATTGCAGCACCTATACATATATAATATATACATAGTGCAGTTTGTTTTGCCAAACCATATATACATCATATAATAATATATATATGCCGCGCATTAGTTGTAAACTTTAATATTATATATATGTACGCAAATGAAATGCTATAAACAATACAACAGTTGCAACATAGTATAGTGGGCGCTGCCACCTGAGCCGAAAAACTGACCAACCGTCAAATTAAATAATTTCACCCGAACCGAATCTACTTCCGGACTGGTTATGACGTTATTATGTAGTCCCACGCCGTACACACGGATAATCTCGATTTAATGCGCGCAACCCTGTCGGACACGTAAAACATATATAGGTGTACTATACAGAAGGGTTGCTGCTGCAGAGTAAAATAATTGTTCCGCACCTGAGCGAATTATTCGAATATTTCAACCCCAAGCAGTGACGAGGACTCTGCATGCAGTGCACAGTGCGTGGGGAAACTAGGCAAAATGTTCACGGTCTGCGTAACACTGTAACAACTCATTTCCTAGTGTGTGAGAACCAAAACAATGAATAAAATAAAACACAAACCTCCCGAGTTCCGGCGGTTGAGCTCTWGTCTCGTTATTGTGTGTTATAGCCGGCAAAACGACAAATCTGTAACGAATTTTTGTTTCCCTCTCCCCCTTCCCCCTTTTCACATAGATAATACACCCATATAATATTATATTTACCACGTACAGCACGTATAATATATACACTCACACTCACGTACCACATTACAATGAATTATTAAAAATTATAATATTATATCATAGTATTGTCGACCCTTCATACCTGCGTCGGATCCGGCGGTCCACCAGTCTTCCTGTACGTTGCCTTGGTCAACTCTGGAGCAGAATTGCATGAATGACGGCATGGTGGATTTCAGTTCTTCGCCAAGGCTCATCATTGCAGAGCCTTTTGTGATAAAACCTRAAACAAATGGAAATAAGACTTACGTTAATACACCGCGAGAATAGCACACCACGTAATATTATAATATGATATACGATAATTAAGGTAATTTAGTAATATCATATTATTGCCACGATGTCGTACTGAAATAGAATACACGATAAAATATTGTACTAGGAGTCAGATTGCGGCATATATGAAGCCTCGTTTTTAGGGTCAGATATTGTTTCAACCACCTCCCCGGGGCGCCACCACCGGTTTGGATTATTAATTATTATTGTCGCCGTCTTCGGTTCCAATGTTTGTACTGATAAACGAGAGGTTTATTATATATGCACGCGTGCAAGTCGCATCTGCTTTTGATAAACAAAATAAAATCGCCCGGCTTTAACCACCCGTGCCTGTTGCTTTGCTTTGCTTTGCGCAAGCTGCAATGTAGCTAGCGCTCACCTATATACATGTATATAATACGTCTACTATAATAATAGTATGGTATATATTACCCTCGTTGCGTGGTTTTACGACGGTCGTATAATCGATTTACTAGTTTTCCAATCAACCCTCAATAGTATACATAATATATATATATACGATCGTGGTTGTAACCTAAACAGTAATAATAATAATATATACCAAACCACACGGTACAGTATCTTAACTTTCCAAACACACGCACGACGTAATATATACGTAAGATCTACATAGATAATAATAATATATACTAAAGATAAGTACTATGATTGCTTTGCGTTCGATATATCGTTTGTATGTACATTACGCGCGTCTTATCGCTAACTAAACAATAGCATTTTGTCGGCAAGTCCGTCGTCGAGGACTGTACCTACGTATACATGTAAACGTCAGTTTGTTTGAAAAATAAAAGCCATTAGAAACAATATAGTAATAATAATTGGTCGCGGCACGTTTTCAAAACGATTTAACTGGTTTTACAAGCTTGGCTACGTTAATCATAGTTTTGGGTCTTCATCTACACGTCGTACGATAATAAGGTGACGTATTGTTTTTCATTCGTTCATTCATCGGAACGCTCTTAGGCGATAACGCCGTCCCACACCATTAATCGAAATCGAAATTTTATAAGTATACGTATTATAGGCATATACGGGTATATCGTGTATGTAATGTATATATTATTATTATTATTATAATATTTTATTTTATGATTATAATAATATTATAAATGTGTGCTCGAAAACCGCTGTCGGGCCGGTACATGTTTTTTTTTTATTCGAATGTAATTCGTCGGAATATGCATGTATATATATATATATATATCATTACGATCGCGGTCGGTTGAATAACTCTCGCGCCGCGGCTTTTTATACATACCTATACATAAAATATAAGGTACCGTATATTATAATATACGAATGCATAATAATTTTTTCTCTTTTCGTACACACTTCGATGGACCCACGATTTGTGCGCGCCCCTCGAAAACCGGTTCTCTATAGACGCATTCTACAGGGGGTTGTGCCTGCGTGCGTGCGTAAAGGGCTTATTATAATGGAGGKTTGGTTAATGGTTTCGTATATACATAGATATTATATTTTTTTTCCAGTTTCATGCTCGAGTGCGATCGCACGCTGCCGCCCCGTTTCCCCCCACCACACCACTGTTTCCTAGCTCTCTCGCTGTTTTTCTACAGCGCGCACCAACGGCAGCAGCGTCACAAGTATATAATACTATACCTAAATATATATACAGAAACCGTTTGGGGGGAGAAATTATTCACCTATATACACTCGTGCATTAAAACTCGCGCACATCAACCCCGCGTGTCTCCCATTTTGCAAGGGTGGTTGTTGTTCGCGATGGGTTTATAATATTATATCATATAAAAGTGTATATATATATATATATATATACTTAAACGATTTGACTATGTCACAATAATTCCGTTCTGCTGCATACGGGTTCGTGCATGTAGGCTCTATAATCTATGGATGGACTGGTTTGAAAATGGAACTGCTCATCGGCGGGGCCCATAAAAAGCGTGTCCACTTGTTTGTGCAGAATTATGTTGGTGTGAGGTTTGAAAACGGGGTGGAATATGAAAAATTGAACGATATATTATTTTAACGGATTGAAATGATACACTGCGTTGCAGTGACTGAATTCGATTRAATTACCTATATAAGAAATAAGAATACACATAATAAAATGTGTTGCACAAGATTTGAGAGACTTAGCACGAATGAAAAATACTCTGAGAATAAATAGATAATAATAATATTGTGCACTTTCGACGATTATCMTTCARCTATATTATAGACAGCGAAACGCGGCAAAAAATACGCGCATAGTTTTGTTCAACGTTCGGAATAATCTATCCAAGGGTTGTTGTCGGTGTAGGAAGTCCGCGCGAACGTAATTCTGTAGACTCGAATTGCGCGCGCGGTATATTAAGAAATCTTTACTCGGTAAATTGTTGTATAATTCATTGTCGTGAAATTAAAATGGATTGAGATTACAGTGTACCTACGTTGGTCGTTTTTTTTTTAAATATATATACCTGATATTATTATAGTTGTTACAATTAACGTTATCCACGTCGTGCAGCGAATGGAATCGGACGACTATATATATACGACAACCGTTGTAGGACGCCAAACAACAATGGTAATCTACATGTTTAGCATAACGACTACCTGCATAGACTCGAAAAAAAGTGTTGACTCAAATACACGCGCACGGTAACCCCAAAAACCCAATATAGACAATATTATTTTATATATGTACGTAGTAAGTACTATACGCGCATAATATATATTATAAGTATACCGCCGTCGCCCGTCGTATACGATCATTATTATATATTTGTTATTCATAACCGAACGTCTTACGCGTACCAGCATGAAACACGCATATTATAGTGTCTGGATCCCGTATCCTTAAAATATGTTTGCCGAAGGACATGATGTATATATTATATTATATTATATTATTATTATTATTATTATTATTATGCATTATTTTCACCTCACCCGTCGCCGCCAGTTAAGTACCAACGCGCGTGCTGCTTGTGACACACGATACCGTTGTCGCGCGTTTTCTTGGGCCAACAAAATGATATTATCGTGGCGCGTATTATAGGTAGATGCATAATAATCATAATAATAAACAATACCTACAGTGGTGATAATAATAACAGTAATAATACTATATGGCTATATTGTGTGTATTTTCGAAGTGTGTGTGCGCGTGATATATCATACGGGACGCACACGGGTAATTTACACATAAAGATAAATTATTATTGCAACGATCTACGGCTAAATGAAATAATAATAATAATAATAAAAAAACAAATATATTTATGTAAAACTACTACAACTATAATAGTAGTGTCTTCTGTTTAGGAGCCGAACCCGCATTGTGCGCGCACAAAGGAACAGCCACTTATTATACGCACACACACATAGAGCCTACAGCGACATGACAAATTACTCGGACGATTAACGACACGTCGTACAAGCTATCTGTATGACGTACGGATTACCGGTGCCCCCCTGCCACCTTTAAAGTCGTCGACGAGACCCGGACCGCGATGTTTAATCCGAATGTGATATAGCATAAAAATATAATATGTATTATTATTATTGTTATTACTGTCGTCGACGCGTATTGGCCAATAAAATTTGAATTTGGCGCTAGACAAACGTGAAACCGCCGTCTCGCGCACCGTAGGCACTCTTGTGGGTTTTACGACTATGATAATGCGTAATATTTCGTATATTACAATAATAATATTACTCCACATTTCTATACACACACACACGTGCGTCGTATAAAACTCGCGTTGATATTATTGTTAGTCCCCGTATAGACGAAAAGTTTATCGATCGTATACCAGAATATATGCATTGTATACAATAGGTGTGCATGATATCGAAATAAAAAAGAAATCCGCGTATGTAGACCCGGTGGCCGAGTGTGCACCTATATGTTGTTGTTATACAGGACGACGCAGTTGGTACCTACTCGTCGTAAACCTGGTGGAGCTGTAAATTTCGCGTTAAAATAAAATAAATTCATAATAATATACGATACGATATAATATGACGTGTGTGTATAATACGGGATCGTGACCACGCATGACATTATTTATTCGCTCCCGCGCGTACGTGTTCGGTAGGCCCGCATCGGCCTTATATATATATATACGTATACGATTACTCTATATATACCTAAGTATATACGACTTTTAAATCCGTACACGGTAAAACGGGCACACAATATAATAAAATAAATAAATAATAAAACAAATATTATACCGGACGCGTACGTGTGGTACCCCTTTTTTTCCCCGCGTCGAGTGAAAAAGCGTTCCCGTCCGAGTAGGTAGGTACACCTACCAGTTATTACTTACTGCAGCGCGGTGCACCGGATACGCCGCGTAAAAACAACCCGTGCGAAGCGGAAACTGAAAAATTGCTTTTCGATGTATATTACCTACTCCCCATCACCACCCTTCCGCCGCCRTTTAACGCGGCGCGTTGGTACGAGTGGGTATGCTTATACTGAGCGATTAAATTTATAATAACAAAACGTAACGACGGCGATGCAAGTAGAATTAACCACGGCTGGAGGACAAACCAGCCCCGACAATATACCAGGGGGGAGTCGTGGTCGGATTGAGTGATTTATAATTGTTTGACTGGCGGTAAATTTGAAAACCACGTACAAACACTTTTGTTATTAATTACACATTTATCGTAAATATATCTAAATCTCGTAGACTTTTAATACGTAGAAACAAATAAAAGTATAGGTTAGGTTAAAATTATTTATAACTAGGTTGATGATTATGATTTATAAAATAAATACTAAAAATTTCGCAAAAGACTTATTCAAATGCAAATTTCGTAATGTTGACTCAATACACTGTACGAAATATAGAAACTCGACATTTTTTTTCACTACGGGGGGGATAACGATTGACTTGGCGGATACCCCTTGCAAAATCTGTTCTTATTGAATGTGACGCCAAATCAAAGGGTTAGTCACTTATCGTTGTGTAACGGACTTTACATCAAATTGACCGTTAAATACGGATTTGAAATATATATCTACGTATATTTTAATTTTTTTTTTTCGGAAAAGCTTGAAAATAGCGTTTACCTACTAGGTATAACTGTTGAAAACTTAATAAACCAAAATGTGGAAATAATTTTTAGCTTAAGATATTTATTAATAAATTGTACAAATAGATGCGATCGGAGAATATTGAAAACTAAAGTTATTTAATTTTTAAATTTTTATTAATTTTTAAATTAAATTTCTTTTTTTTTAACTTTTTAAAAACCTATTTTATTACGTTATTAATACTTTTGTGAGATTGTCTGGTATATAAACGGTTTAAATTTCAAGAGATTTTTCAGCAATACGACAAGAGTTCAATATAATATTTACTAATCAGTAATCGTAAATCGTAATAATATACATATAATTGATGTGATAAAAAAAGATAAACATAATAATTATAACAAAAATAAAGAAAAAATATGATAATATATAAAAAAAAAAATGAATAAAATCGTTTACCTTCAAAGAAAAACAATCGGCAGTACGACAATAACGATGTTATTCGTCGGAGTTGAAGTCGATCCTCGGCGTGAAAACTCCGCTAAAGCTGCAGTGGAGAAGAGAGAGCTAAAGCCGGTGGCGTCGGTACTTGCTGGTATAGAGGYTAGGCAAACCTTTATTATACGATGGTACTTCAGACGAATGATAGCAAAATGTATTATTATGATACCGTGAAGCGTGTGGATGTGAAGCTTGGACGTGAGTGGGTAAGCTTGGGAGCGAGCGTCGTGTACGTGTGCGGTTCGAAACGCGACTGATCGTGTTCGGGGGTTGGGGCACCGGTGTCGTGTCGCCGCGGAGTTTACGCTATTCGACGGGACGGCGCGCGCGAGAGAGAGAGGGACGGCACGCCGACGGGGGTGAGCCGCTGCAGTTCGCGTCTATATATGTGTATAGATCATATGTACGTATATATTGATATGCATAATAGCAGCGTTATGTATATAGTATATAGGGGAACAGTGCGCGGCCATGTCGGCGGCGGCGGCTCTTGTCATCCCCACTGCCGAGCCGACGCCGCCGGTGGCTCGCGCGCGCGCCCGACCGGACACCTGGAAACGCGGCGCGCGGCGGGCATATACACCGAAGGCACGCGCCATCCCCACCGCCGCCGGGTGGCGGCTACGGCGGCGGCAAAGAATGGTACGCACGGAAAAAAAACAACGACCCAAGAGACGAGTATTTATTACACTACACACACACACACACGCACACACTTACGCGCGCGCGCGCATCTAGCACTCTGTTGCTGGCGGACAGCAGCTCGTGGGAACTTAAAACGCCAACCGGTTATTTTTTTGGTCGTTTTTTCGGTGCACTTCTCTAGTCGTCGCCGCCGCCGCCGCCACCATGCCTCCGGTTACCAGACTACCGTCGAAGGCCACCGCCACCGTCTCGATATATATATATATGTATACTATAGGTACTTAATGTATTAAGAGTGTGTTTGTGTAAGTGTATCTTAATAGGAATCGACCGGCGAAAATCCTTTGTCCCGCGAGCACGGGTCGCGCAAAACGCATATACTCATATATGCGACGAGAGTGTGTGTGTGTGTGTGTAGTATATCGCTTTGCTCTACATACGTCGAAGTCGGAGAAAAAACGCGTTTTGCGTCGACGTTCATCAAAGTCTCCGGTGCGACGGACCGTATATTATACGTCGTCGCGGGTCCCATCCGATCGGGAACGCGAATTCTATAAACGCCTCACGTTTTTTTTTTGCCCTTTCGAATTTCCACGTCTTCTTCCACAGCTATCGGAAAAACGTGAAACCCGAGTCGGCCCATTTGTTTTATATCCGAAAAACTCGTTATCGTGGATGTATATCCGTCACGACGAGGAAATCGAAATTTGAAAAATAGACAACAAACACCTACCGAATTATAAATGTGTTTATTCGATTTAAGTATATAATATAATATGGCCCCTCAGGCTGCTGCCGTGTTTATATATGTATGATACGCTGGTTAGATTTATAAAATATATTATATTTATACTAATATATTATTAAGCCGATGTAAATAAATGTAAATACAAATCATAAATGTCCATCAATATTCTAATTTATTTCCAAGATGAGATGCTGTTAAGCTGTTTATATAATAACTTCTGAAGCTTARTTTTGAAATCATTCAAACGGAACCTGTTTACATGTAGGTACAACCTCACGCCCGACGTGCGCTTCTTATGATAAATAGATCATTTTTGGATAAACGGTAAATAGATCATTTTTAGCAACCGTTTAGACCGGTTTTAAAACTCAGAAATAGATAACAGGTATAGGCATCAGCGGATTAGTCCTATCAAAACGCTTAAGTATTAATTTAATTTTCCTAACAAGTTGAACGGTACTAAGTGACRCGATGCTCTTTAAAAGAATAATATGGTTGTTAAAAATTAAAAYTTATAAAATGCTAGTACCGGAATACAACTGTACATTTTTTAATATCTGCTGTTCTTTGAACAAATTCAGATATTTGTATTTTTTTTAGTAAAATTTTCAAATATATTATAATATAGTATTTTAAAAGAAAAGGATCGACGAATGTGATCATTTGATTTTTTATGTTGCATAGCTACAGAGGAATGTATTTTTAATATTGTTTACGAATTGCATATTTTTGAAATATTAATTGATTAATAGTATGTGTTTTCAAATTTCAAAACAAAATTTTACAGAATAAAATATCATTCATATCATTATTTATTTATATATTTATAAATTACATATTTATAGAACAATCATTAAATACATAATAACTAATAACTATAATAAGTATAATATGGATTTTTATATTACTTTAAAAGCCAACGGAATTTGAATAATGCAGATTTTTTTCTATTTAATATATAAAACGGATTCCATTACTTTCTATTACCACTCTTTTGGTTTTTTATTTAAATTATACTGTTCGATATTAGCATTTTAAATGGTAATTKAAAAGGTCCAGTGTCCACCATAATTGATCGAACACTGATATGTCGTTTTTGGTTTTTATGATCATTGKMTYAAACTGTATATTTAAATATGTGTTTGCTTAACTGCAGTAAATGGGTTTAAAAATCAATTCATCGGTTGATAAATGTAATACTATATATGATGATTTGATACATTCAATATGTGTGTACAAGTGTTTTTTTGAATAATAATAATAAATTTGACATTTGACAATGCCGGCGTTATAATTGGGATTATAAATTGATTTCTTTAAAAAAAATACTTATCTTTAAGTTCTTGGAATTGCCTTAAAGTGGTGGTAACAGAAATGTATCAATAAATACAATATACCTATACATTTCACCCACCGGGGACCTACCACCTACATTATAACCACCATTGTTCAAAAAAACGATTTTAAAATCTTAGGTAAATATCTTGGCTCCTATAGCACCATCCCTGCAGGGTCGAACATAATTGATATGAATAACGATCTTGTCRTTTCCAATTTTCCATTAGCACCTTTGCAGCATATAAAAATATTGTATTGTTCGATTTCTAGAAAAACCAACACGGTTATAATGCCCATCTATATAAGATACGAAAATACAATGTTCATGCCATTTTTTAATGTATATTTTCAGAACTAAATAATTAGTTTTATTTTTAATTGAAATCATTTTTAGTATAATGTATAAAACTTTTTTTCTCATGAACTATATAAAATATAAACATTCATGCAATAATATTATTATCATCCCAAATTGCCTAATTTTTTTTTTTGATTTCAAGTAGAAAATAATCTTGTTTGTGTGATATGGGACGTATAAGATAAATAATACAAAAAAGAGAGAGGGTTGTTTCTATTGTTTCCAATATGTAATTCTAATTTAAAAATACTTTCTGATATGATTTACCCTTAAACAAAACGTAAAACCATTTATCGCGTTCATTGTCAAAACATTTTACACAAACAATTATTTCTCATTACTTCATACAACATTCGAATATTTTATGATGTTCAAAATGCATCTGCCTAACGGAAGAGTACCTATAGAGGTATRCGTAAAAAAAACTACCTCTATATATACCTATAACATGAAAAGCCCGGCGGGGCGGTGGTTGAGGTTTTTTTATACGTATACATTTTTTTTATCAAGATAAATGATGATTTAAAATTAGAATATAATTAGAAGATATATAAATGGTCATCTAGTGATGGGTTGTTTTTTTTTTTTTAGTTTGTTCACCCGACCGACCACCCTTAACGCTGGATCCATTTATACTGAGAATAATGGTCGATGTTTTTTATGAAGTCTTAAATAAAACACACTGACCGCCACCACCGCCTATTCATTAAACAACGTACTTAACGAAGGCGCGTGCATCAGGTCTATATTATATAGTGACTTGAACGCCCGTCGTCGCCGTCGGGCAATGCCTCGCTATATATAATAACAATAATAGGGTGAAATGGACAGGGATAACTTTTGAGTTTTATTATATTATATATACGATAAATGTTTCCAAAATGATGTTACTACAACATATTATTAACATTATAAACAAATGTAATATAACGTATTAACTTTTATATATGTTATTGTAAATTGAAAATAGCTGTTTTGGTGGAAAATCGTGAAATTAGTTTTTAAATAGAGGGTTGGCCAAGCATTTAAGTCGCCAGAAACCATTTTGTAATAAAGGATAAAATTATACATATATAGATACACCTTTATGATTTTACATTTTAGTTTTAGTAGTAAGTAAATTTAAGTGAAATAGATAAATATTCATAATAAAAATAATGATAAATATAATTCCACTAAATAATATATACGATTGCGGTAAATGATAAGTATTCAAATTTCAAGTACGGCAATATAATATATCTAGAATTAATTTGTTGACTATTTTCACTGTCCAGGAAAGTAAGCAAAGTATATTAAAGTCGCTGATAGAAATCTTAAGCCAGCTACAGCTGCAGTGTGAATATATGAAACATGTAAAGTGCAGGTGCATAAATTATAAACATATCTTATATTTTATCTTTATTATGACACTTATCGAATTTTAAGTCGTAACGTATCGGTAATAACATATTGTATCTATATATTTTAAATAATTATTAATTAGGACCTTATATAAATTAGATATAATTAGTTTATATACCAATACAAAAATACTATACATACCTAATATAAATTTAAATTCTTTAAAATTAATAAGCAATGATGTATTTTTTTTTTAAATAAAGTTATAATTTTACATGCATTGCAAACTGTATATGTGGTGGGGTTAAAAAATAAWCTTATCGATTCGAATAATTTGGCAGTTTGGTATACGTTCTAAGAGGAAATACTTTACGAAATTGAATATATTGTGGTGTGGTGGTGTAACAGCGCTTTATAAATGCCCTGATGTAGAATATTCAAATTCACAAGACAGGTATTTTTAGGATTTTCAAGACAATTAAATACTGAGACATTTACACTGCCATTTAAAAATAAMGATGAATTATATTTTATGATCCTATGCATCATTAGACTATAACTAAACTTGTATTATAGTGTATATATAGGTATATAACTATTTTAGCAATAAAAACCCTGTTAAAAAAATTTAAATGGCTGTATTGTTCACCTACCAAAAGTTTATTTCTTGAAAAATTCAAATCCGTAGTTGTATACAACTTTTAATATTGATTCAACTTTTATGTTATTGTTATTATTATTGTCATAACGGTTGTGTAAAATTCAAAGTTTTAAACAATGTATTGTTATAACAAACTTCTAGTACTTGAAAAKAACGATAATATTTGTTCTTTTTAAATATTAACT